GCCCTCCTGTCTGTGGTCACCTACATTTTGGTGCTTGGCATGAGGGACACCTCTGATAAAAATGTCATTAAAATCCGCCCACAACTTCTAAAGTTATCCTGTACACAGATACAAACACACAAACTCCTAAAAACATAACTTTCTTGGCTGAGGTAAAAAATGTGTCTTGACTCACCATGAAGAAAGCTCCTCTGTGGTAGTACTTCTGGAGAAACTTGTATTTGCCTTTTTGGGCTTTGTTGGTGACGACTTTCCCGCTGTTTCGGAGCTCGGCCCTGCGCTCCTCCTCTGTCAGGCTGTGGAATCTCTCGATTTCTGACTTCTCCTTCTCCATCCTGAAGACAAGCAATACAAGCAACCACACATTTTAATCAAAGCTGGGTTTGTCTTACTCTCAAAATCCAAACTTTTACAATATTAGACTTTTACTCACGTTTCTCTGGCTTCTCTGTCTCTCTTAATGCGTTTCAGCTCTCTGACCTTCCAGGCTTCGTACTCCTCCTCCTCATTTTCCCCATCTGTATCCAGGGCTTCCAGAGCGGCCAGTGTCCGCCGATTCTCTTCAAACTCCTTCTTAGCCTCCTCCTCAACGATTTTCAGAGTGTAACGACGGCGCTCCTCCGCCTGCTTTTTAGCCTCAGCCTCCAGTTCTCTCTGCTTCTGCTCCTCAGCTTCTCGCTCAGCAACAGTGATTCTGTCCTTCCTGTAAATAAACAACAGTTTGTTAACGAATGTGTCATAACTTTTAAAGCTAGGCAAAATGTTCCCTGATAATCATCCATGTAGACCAGAGTCCAATTAGCATTAGCTGAACTGGCAACCAGCTCACAAACAGTATCAAACAAGGCTAGATGAGTGCGAGTGTTCCCCTTACTGGCTGGGATGAGGTAAACTTTTTGCTAGCACCTTAAAAGCAATTTTGGAAACAGTATATTTGCTGAAAAGACTTTTTTTATCCTGGGATTTTCTGTGCCAGTTTGTGATTACAAAGAGTTACAAAAGATTTGAAGTAACCTTTTTGGGAAACGTTGTAGAAACTATGAATTTGCGAGCTGCTTACTTATTCCCGTGTTAGATGATTGATGGATGTTTAAAAAATATTTCCAGTTTTTTTTCTCAATATCTTACTTGCGAATGAAGACGGGTTTGAGTCGCGGTTCTGCTTCATCCTCGCTGTCTGTGTATTCCTCATATTCTGACTCGGATTCAGACTCCGCCCCTGACTTGCCCTCCTCCTCCACCTCCATCACCTCCATTTCCTCGTTCTTCCGTTCCAGCGCCCGCTGACGCATCATCGCTCGTCTACGTTCAATTTCCTGTGCAGGGCGATGATTAAAGCAATAAGAATGTGTTCAAAATAAAAGGGAATTAAAAACACTGAGGTGTTTGCATAATTACAACCTCGTCATCCACTTCTTCCTCCTCCTCTTCATCCTCACTGCTCTCTTCTCGCTCAGGATGCCACGTTCCCTCATCAGAGTCTTCGCTGCTCTCAACGACGACTTCAGGCTCAACAATCTGTCGATGCCTCGCTAACCTGAGAAGTCAGAAAAACATTATAGCTCCGAAAGATTTTCCAAAAATTTGAGTGAAGCTAAGGAACAGAGTAATACCTCTCCTCCACGTCCTCAGAAGTGCGGTTGAGCAAACGTCTGAGACGCGGGTCTGAGACGTCCTCTTCCTGTGGCTCCACCTCCGGCTCTACTTCCGCTGCCTTTTTCACAAACTTGAATTCCTCTTCTTCCTCATCTGAAGACTCCATGGGGGCGTAGTCTGGACGTTTACCAGACACATATCTCTTCACCTTCACCTTCTCCATCGAGAGCTCACCTGCAGTCGGCACACATGAACAACATTGTTTGAAATTGACTCAGGTTTAAAACATGGGAGCAGAGATTCATGCATGAAAAGGCAGAATTTGGAGATCAACAGTAAACTAGACTCAAAGATGCTAAAGACTTCCGGCCCCTTTAGAAACTACAGGATCATTTTTGACCTCCGTTGTAAAGGTATAACTACTAATTACGTTCACTAGCTTTTGTATTGCATCTACAGAACATGATAAATTATAAAACAATTAAGAGAGAATTTGAGGCTTTCCATCACATGTGCTGATTAAGTGAAGAAATATGTCAACTCCTACATCATTACAACTCCAAACTTAACAGTCAACTGTTTCAGCAGTAATAAAGGCTTATTAGATTAGGTATTTAAATCAGGTCCTACAAAATGCATGAAAAAAAAAAAAACTTAGCAGGACCAAGTTTAAGACTCAAACAATCCTAAATGAAACTCATACCGGTATTCAAGTTATTTAATAAATAAGTTATAATCCAATTTTAAGTCTTTTTAGGTTATTGCTTGGCAACATCTTCTAACACTTTTAAACCTAACTTTGCAGTAGCAATAAACAACAGATTTTAGCAAAAACCCTGAATGTTAAATAGTTTTATAGAATGATGAAGAGGCACATAGTAAATCTATTAATTTTTATTACTCAAAAAAGACCTCTAATTTCAGACAATAAAAAAAACAACAACTTTGAGTCATGTTTGAACTGATACAGCTTGGTCTGTGTTCTACTCACCCAATTTTAAGTGTTAGCTTTCAAATAATTTATTTCACATGTAATGTGGGCTTATAGTTCCTAAGTTATTTGCTTTTCCATTTGGGTATGCAAAATAGCTGAGAATTATCCAAAATGAGGTGGCTATTAGGAGGTTAAAGCAGAAGTAAAACGTTATTCCTGGAGTGAAAATTGAAAACTTCATCTGCTCATAAGGCCCCAAAATGTGCTTCAACATGTTGGTTCTCTTTGAAGCTTCAAACACTGGGATGTGTGTCTGAACTGAAGGTGACTAGGGCCTTTTCTAAAGAAGTCCAAGGAAAACTTTAGTTTTCTTAAAAGAGGAATTAAAAACTATTTTTAGACTATTTAAATATACTGATGTTTAATGTTATTAGTTAAAATCTGTAGGACAATTTGTCAATCTGTGTTTTTATGAAGGGATTTAAGATCAACGATTTTATTAAATGGTCAAGTCTAAAACATTAAGATGTTGAGTTCCTCTCAATGTTAGTCACAGAGACAGTTTTCAATGAGAGGATTTTACAATGGGCATAAAAAATACAGCACAGACCAACTACCAGTTTAACTTTTGTTTAGATAAATAACAGAAAAGCTGAAACTATAACTCAGATATTAACTGTGTACATCTATCGCAAAAGTAAAAAAAAGAAACAGAAACCATAAAGCCAACCTTTGAAGGAATTTATTAAACTTTAAAGCAGGTAGAGCAAACATTGAGAACAATCACAGATTTAAGGCTATGGAAACTGAGCCCAAGTATAAAAATAAGGATGCATTAAATTATTCTAAAGCCTCAGATTAAGAATAAAGTTTAAAAAGTTTAAAATTTAAGAAACCTGACGATGTTACTCTTATGCAAAATGTATCATAATGTGTTAATTAAACCCGGTCCCAACTCTGTTAATTGTTTACTCCGTGGTTCTTCGCCATCTGCGATGTCAACTGATGTTGGCTAATGTAGCTACTTAGCTCCCAACAAAGCTTACCTTTTTCGTTCCGTATTGGAACGGCACCGGCCGTAGACTGAATCGGCGGAAGCTTCATGTTTGCGGCGTCGTGACTAGACATGATTGCCTGGTCAACGATATACGAGCCGATAAAATAAAAAGAAAAATGTTATTTCACTCAGTAGCTCTATAGCTCGTTGTAGTTGCAACGAAACGGAAGTTCGACTAAATGCGTGAACGGACCGGAAGTGAGGTCGTTCTGATAACTGTTTCCGCCTCTAAGAAGCTGGTGGAACTTTTAATCGACTTTTTATGGCATTGCTTTTTTTGTGTCGTCGTTATAGTTTATATTTGTGTTATTTAATACGCTTGGTGGCTTGGATTTCTTGCTTAAATGTGATTTTGAATTAAGCAAGATTAAAATTTCACTGTCTAATTTTCATAATTTTTTTTTTCATTTTTGGGAAGAAATTATATTTACTCACAACTTCACCTGTCATGGATCTGTAGTGTGGAATAAAATATCAATATTAATAAATAGAAAATCTAAAAACAGACTGGTTTTTTTTTTTTTTTTTTTTTTTTTGGTAACTGACTTAATGGACAGTCACAGTGTTTTCCTAAATCATAGAGATTTTACCAACAAATTTGATCTGTTCTGTACTTGTAATTAGGGCTGGGTATTTTCGCCAAAGTCTAATTAATACGATTATATGATGAATATGATTGATTAATACAGTTCTAAATCGATTAATTTTGATTCGATCTGTTTTTACAATATTGAAAGTGGTTCAACTGTGTTTCAAAATGCTCATATATTTATTTTTTTTCCTGTCACATTAAACACAAAGTGCAAACTTGTGTATCAGACAGTTTAAACATGAGATGTGAACAAAACTGATCATAATTGCAAACTTGTTTGTGAAAAGTAAAAAAGTGAAGCCTCATTCGAGCAAGCAGACATGACACAGCGGGGACACAGCAGACATACATGAGCTGCATTATCTTTGCTGCACAAACCATATTTGCAGTGTTGTCTGTAACAACTACAGGGGGTTTGCTGGTCAGGCCCCATTTGTTAATGTCTTCAGTCACCCTATTGGGTATATTTGCAGCTGTCTGGCTTGAAGTAATCTTGAGTGCACCTTTCCTACTCATTTGAATGTGAACATCACGGGCGTCACTATAAAACTAATCGATCTCATTCCCTAGATATCGATTTTGCAAAAATGTAAAGGAATCGATTCAAAATCGATTAAATCAATTTTTTTTTTACCTAGCCCTACTTGTCATGAATACCTAAAACTATGCAAAGCTATTCCTGTAGCTCTGATCCATCTCATCCAAAACACCTTAAGATACTCAAATGTTACTCCATATTTACCCAAATTGAAAATTGGAGAATATTTTGTGATTGATGTAATAATGTAATGCTTGTTACTGCCTTCAACAACTAATTTGCCTTTATTTGAGAAGGCATTCTCTAAGTTTGTTAAATGGCTGGTTTTACCAAAGGTTAAAGAGACTCACTTTAAAATCTCTCACAATATTTACCCAGTGGCTGAATTTATGCAAAAAAGATTTCAGTTTCACTTAACATGCTGTTCCTTTTGTGAGTCTCTGGATGAATCCCTTAATCATCTCTTTTTTCCCCCTGTCCTTTTTTCTTTTAAAAGTATGGAGAGACATTAAAAATTGGTTTTCCTTTAAAATTGAGGACATCCAAGAAACAACAATCACCCACGTGTTGTATTATGTTGAGGACCTTGATAGTAACATTTGAGATATGGTTAATATTGCTTTCTTGCTTGTCAAATATCACATACATTGCTGTAAATGGAGAGATTCTGCTCATTTTTTTGAAATTTTTCTTAACCAATTTAAACTGTATTACACCTCATTGAAACATTTGACATCTGTTTCTGCCAAAAAAGTAACTGCCAATATTTATACTTTTCTTTTGTTTTAAATCTTGCTCAATATTTATGTATTGGCCTTATTGTTTATCTGTTCTTGTTTTTAGCCCCATGTTCTTTTTTTTTTCTCTATCCATGTAATATTTGTACCTCAATGAGTCTTTGTACACTATTGGTTTGTTATATAAATAAAGTAAAAATTAAAAAATATATATATAAACTTTTTTTGTTGAGAAAAACAGACATGAACTAGAGCGTAATCCATCTAAAAATAAATGGTAGAAACAGCAACAGATCAATGTATGACAAGGATGCATCATGCAGAGCTGATCTTTTAGGTGCTTTATGAAAGTGTTTGAACCTGACAGGTGAAAAAAAATAACTGGTTTGCTTTAATGAAAAAAAAATGAAAGTCTAGAATTCAGAAAATCAGAAGACAAAGGTTCACAGTACTGATCGGGCACATTATTCTATTCATGGTTCATGAATCTCCATTGATGAAACCCTGATCTGGACATTTACAGAGAAAAAGCAGCAGCTTTTTTTACATCCATTTAAATTTGACTTAAAGAGATGGCCGATTAGTGTAATTGGTGTTAGGGTGTTTTACAGTTGAGTGCCATAACATCTTTGCCCCATTGGATAGAATTTTACTGTCCTTTATACCAAAAATTTATGATTTTTTGTGGCTGGATAGTTAATCTCACAATAAATGGCCAGAAAGGGTGATGAAAGAAAAAAGCTAAAAAAAAAAAAAAAGGTTGGAATAAACTTAATGAGTTCCATCATTATTATATTCAGCAGTATTACCGTAGTAACATGTGGTCCTAATAGGCCGTGTATGTATGAGACACAGTGCTTCCAAAATATTAAAAACAAGATTTATTTTCATGGCTTATTAAAACAGTATCAGATGTGACGTAAACAGTCTGTTCTCAGTGAGGAGAGGCTTTTCTCTTAGAGTTGAACCCCTCTCTGTTTGAACAGCATTTCCAGCTTCTCTTCCAGAGCCGAGTTAGTTCCTTTAAGACCATTAACCACTTCAGCAGCCCAAACAAAATATTCCTGGACCCGCTCAGCTGACCAACCTGCCAAAGAGACAAGAGAAAGTTAATGTATGAAAATTCAATGAACATTTTTGTTCTCCTAAATGCAAATGTTAATGCATTCTAACTTTAACATAATAAACACAAAGGGCAACTTTCTCTGGCAGCATAAACTGTGCTGTAATTTATGTTAACACTTCACAAACCACTCAATAGGTTGATCCATTTTAGTATTTTATTTGGATATCAGGTAAGAGACCAAACATACTGTAGATCAATTATAAATATACTTGCTTTAACGATTTTTTTTTTAGAAACTAAACTAAATAGTGTGGTGTTCATGGACTGTCTCTACAAGCTTCCCACATCTTTTTGTGAAGAGTTGCTAATTAGGTAAAGACATTCTTTCTCATTTAAAACTGAAAGAACTTTTGTTTTGGATAAATTGGTAGAGAGTTAGGATACTTTATAATACACTAAAAAAATAAGGGCTTAAAAGGCTCGAAAATACATTCAATCATGTTTTATTCTACAACATTTGAGTCTAGTCAAATAAAAAAAAAGACATATTTAGAGTTTGTTTCTTTTATAATACTTTCTAAAAAAATGTAAAAACACTGTACAGTACAATACTCTGTTAAAAACAATCCACTGGACTCATTTTCAAGTGTGAAGACATTTCGCTTCCCAACCAGGAAGCTTTTTCAATTCACAATATCAGAAATAGCATTGAGTTTGACGCTTTATAGAGTCGACCAAAAATTAAGCCTTGTTTTGGATTAGAAAACTTCCAAATTGATGCGGACGAGCGGGACTGCTCCTTAGGAATGGGCAGTCGGTTTGGTTCTTTGTTAGCCTGCAATACCTGATACCTGTCTCTGAAATGGGGGGGTAATTGCTGGCCTGGCTGAACAGGCGAGGTGTTCTGTTCCCCTGTATGGGTGTGGGGGTTGAGATGATACCCCCACCCCATTCTAGCAACAATACTCTATTTGTTTTATTTTCCTATCTGTTATTTTTCTTTTCTAAGGTGCACATTATGTGACCACTTCTACTATGACCTTTGCTGCTGCAACTGCAGAACAATTTCCCCATTGTGGGACAACAAAGGGATTTTCTATTCTATTATATTCTTCAATTACCCTTAAAGAGTTTATCTATTTAATGCTTACGCAATATTTTATTTACTTTACTATAATAAAACACAATAAATAATTCAACACATTACAACTTTCAATCTTTAGAGTGCAAAGTGCTGACCAACAGGCGTGGAGGTGTTTAGGTCTCTCAGGTTGTACAGCTTGTCAGCTAGCTTCACAAGTTTAGCCTGTCGACTGCAGTGAGGTGCATGCTCCACTTGCAGACGTTTCCTCTCCTGCTTCGGCAGACTTTTGTCATCCGTCACCTCTTCAACAACACGAGCTACTATCGGCCCAAATTTGGCCTCCAGCTCCTCCAGGGTGGTGTCTGTGTCCTCTACAGTGTCATGCAGCAAAGCCGCCTGCATGAGATATAAGAAAAAAAGCTCAGCAATGCAGGAAGACTGAATGCTTCAAGGAGATGACACACCAGAACTTACTTGCAAAACCTCCACGTCTGTGACTCCTCCTTCATAGCTGAGTATCCGTGCAACACCTTAGAAGAAAAAAATAATTTCACTAGAGAGGTTCCAGTTCTCAGGTTATGAGAAAATATTAGTAAAACATAAAACTCCTTAAGGACACAGCTGGTGGACATCATCACTGCAAAAATCAATTCCCCCAGCTTATAAAAACTTTCTCCACCTTAAAAAAGAAATCATTGTGCAGCATATTAGGAAAAAATAAATAATAAAACAGCTTGTATGACATTTGAGGCTCATTAAATTCAATTTAGCTTTTTCAAATACCATTTAAGCAACTATATTTGATGCTTTACATCTTTTATTTTTTAGCATGTGTGTGTAATTATTACTTTAACACACTATGGAATTAGTCCTTAAAAAATTACCTGAATGAATCAGCAGCAAAACTATGTTAAAGGTCACTGCTGATGTATTTCCTTCTTGGCATTTTGTTGACCGCTTTAGGTAGCCTATGTTATTGCTTTCATTTTAATTTATTTTAAACAGGTAAATTTTCACTTTTGGTTTAAGTCGACCACAAAAGAAAAATTAATGGAATAATTATGATAATAATGCTCCTACCCACCAATTGGATGATTAATGTACGGCGTCCCCTGTGGGTCTTTACGTCGTTGATTTCGATGTTTTTCTGCAGCAAAATTCACAGTTTCTAACAACAAGGACGCGTCTGAATTCATAACTAAACTTAAACAGGTCCGGGGTTCTCAGGCGATAGAGGTCCGTTCTATAATGTTCCGGAGGGAAACAATAACTAACATTAAGCTTTCCGCCCTGTTAGCTACGGAAGTTGATAGCTGCTCCACTCTGATCATATCTGCGGCTTTTTAAATGAAACAATTTTTTTCCGTTGCCTTCTTAATTAATCCATATGATATTGCTTAATATCTGAATTAGCATTTGTTACGCTTGTATTTGTCTTGTGACTCCTGCGGACAGATCTGTTTTTGTCCAACAAGCTAACCTGGGAGGGATTTCTTTCTGTCAGTAGCCTCTCAGAAAAAACTCCTTATAGTTCTGCTCTGGAACACTTAATAGGTAATATACACATATATCAATTTGTGTTCAACTGACTTTCCTTAACTCCTTAACGTTCCCACTGTTGTTTTAGCCTGGAATGGCTCACGGTGGCAGGAAAGATTCCCCGGAGCTCCCAGACCTCTCCCTGCTGAAGAGGCTGGTCAGAGATCAGCTCATCTACCTACTGGAACAGGTGGGTTCCACACAATACTGCACTTGTGACAGAGTTTGGGAAATTAATGTATCCTGGCCGCGTTTATGAGTCTGTTTCCCCTGTATCTGTATAACATTTAGCATTTTTTACTTTCTCGGAATTGAATTGGGTCCATAATTAAAAATATATTTTCTACAATTCACTGCTTTAATTTATTCCTGCAGTGCTCATATTGTTAACATATTCAAAGTATTATTCATTGGCTTTTTGTTCCCACCCTCAGATTGCTGTCACTATCCTGGCCTGGTAGATCACGTGATAATTTATTTTTTATTTTTTTGGCAGAATTGTTTGATTTTATTTAAAGTGGTTTGTTTTTGCTTCAAAGCCAGGTCTGTGCAACTAACTCTCGGTGTTTTTGAGGGTCTGTGCCATTCAAGAAGCTTAATGCTGACCTCAGATTGCTGTCACTATCCTGGCCTGGTAGATCACGTGATAATTTATTTTTTATTTTTTTGGCAGAATTGTTTGATTTCATTTAAAGTGGTTTGTTTTTGCTTCAAAGCCAGGTCTGTGCAACTAACTCTCGGTGTTTTTGAGGGTCTGTGCCATTCAAGAAGCTTAATGCTGACCTGCTTTAGTCATTCCAAACCATTCAGGATCATTCTACTTCTCGATCACCTTTCTTTAACCAGGTTTCAAATATCAGAAAGGGCAGCTAAGCAATAGCAAATCAGATGCCAGTCAATCATCATGTCATCATGTTAATACTGAACTCAATTGATGAGATGACTGGAGTCTGTTGTGCTATTGCTTGGTTGGAAAGAAAACCTGCAGCCACATGGCCCTTCCTGGAACCAGTTTGACATCCCTGATCTATCTGAATATTTGAAATAAGTTACAATAATTTAGAAGTTGTCCTCTATCTATATAGTTCATTCCAAATTATGCAATACACCAGTATCAATGGATTCTAAGTAGCCCCACAGCATATGAGTGATACCCCTTTGATTGACAGTACAGCTGTCCTGGGTGTGAAGTTGTCTCATTGAAAGAGCTCTTCATTGTCCAGTTTGCTTGATTTCACATCAAGTAGAATTTATCACTAGTGCTCTATCTAGATTATTTTGTGAGGTGCAGCAATAATTCAGCTAAACAGGCCCACTGTGTACTGATACTATACTTGACAATTAGGTTGGAAAGACTTACCTCCTCCAAACATACAACATATCATTGTCAGTAAACAGCGCCATCTTTGATTCATCAATGTGGATTTGCTTTAAATTTCATTTGAATTTCAAGGTACTGATTTTGAAGCAGAGGCTTCTTTCTTGGTATTGGTGGGTGTTGATCTGCTTTTCTGTGAACAGCTGGGGAAACTAGCCTCATTGTATCTAATGTCTTTTGTTATTTAACAGTTGCCAGGGAAGAAAGACCTTTTCATTGATTCAGACTTGATGAGTCCACTTGATCGAATTGCAAATGTTTCAATATTGAAGGTAAACCTACTTTTTTTCTTAGATAAAAACACCTAACATTCCAACACTTTTAAAACATCTAATATGTTGTATATTTTGCAGCAACATGAAGTTGACAAACTTTACAAAGTTGAGTTCAAGCCTATTATCAGCATCTCAGATCAGTGAGTTTTTCTCATCGTTATTGATGTTATTTGTTATTAATTAAGTTTTTTTATACTTTACATACATGTTATCTGACTTCATCACAATGAGGCATCTCTCATTTTTACAGACTCTGCTTTCTGATTCGGCCACGAATACAAACTGTGAAGTGGATATGTGGTAGGTGCAGTTTTAGGGGTTTTTCATCTTTTTTTAATGAATTTTTTTATTTCCAATATAAACAGTGTGTTTCTTGGATCTGCTGATTTGTTAATTTTTGCCTTGGCTAGCTGTTACAGAATAATTATGGAGAACTTTGCTTATACATTTTACAATAAGATATAGCATTATTAATCCCCTTTGGGAAACATTTCAGTTGATCTAACGGCACAAGAGAATAAAAGAACACAGCTGAGATATTATTGCAAGTAACAAGCTAAAACAAAAAAAAGATAAGCATTAGATATTCTAGTTTTTAGTTTATTCTAGTGATTATTATCGGTGTAAATGTTGATGCTTCTTCCTTTCAGATGTGGTCAATGCAGACAAGGCAGCAGGAAAATATAGACGATACAAAATCATCTTCACTCCACAGAAGGTACGTTGTCCTCTGCTGCACATTCCAAACCTGTGTTTGTCTGGCAGGATGTTTTTATTTTTGTTTCCAGTTTTATTGGAGAAAACACCTCAACTAGCTATTTAATTTAAGTTGTGCCAGTTTAAGCTGGTTCAGTCCTATTCAAAGCAGACAGAGTCCAGTCTGTTCAAAATGAGTTTAGGTTTACGTTGGTTTACTTTAACAATGGAGTTAACGTAGTTGTAACCATCAGAAAAACCTTCCTGCCTACAGCTATCAACACCTTCAACAACTGGTTAAAAAATACTATAAGTTACTGCAGCATTTAATTTCCCTTCAAGATTATAAAATATTTTGGGATTGAATTGAATGTTCTGAAAATACTCAAATAATATTCATATTTTATCTAGTCAAGTTTATTATTACTTAAATCCCAATTTGTCTGAATTGTTTCCATGTTAATGTTTGCTTTGTCTGAAAATCCACCCTTACCACTATATAGAGCGCTATGTAGGAGTTATGCCATTTTAGATGAGTGTCCGAATATCTAGCGGATGAAAAAGTAGTGGACTCAAAATTTCCCACAATTGTACCTTGAAAAGGAGTGTACATCCATGGTCACTAGACAAAGAGATATATCCAGAATGCTTTGCAAGAACTCTCCTGAAGAAAGAGAAAAGTAGTACTATAAAATCCACAATATAGTGCCCATTCTATATAGTGATTGAGTGGGATAGGGCGGACATTCTGATGAATCCATTGTAATATTCCCCCGATTCCTCAGTACCATCCATTCATAAACTGCCTGTATCAATTAACTGTTAATAAACCTATAAGCTGGTTTCAGTGGTTACTAATAAAGAGCAAATCATTTCACATAATATGCATTTCTGAATCATGCTGTTATGACCCACTTCAAACTATTTTCCTCTAAGTGGTGTTTGCACGATGTTTAAAACCATCTAAGACAGTTGTTTACGATAATCTGTTTTTCTCCCTTCTAAAATGATCCAGTAACAAAGAATTCCAGTTATACGCTAAAACAACCCAGTTCATTCTCAGCACCCTTCCTTAAAAATAGGCTCTTAAATTTTAACTGGACTTGCCCAGTTAAATAAGAAAAAAAGTACCTACAACTACTAACTATCACATTGCAATGTAATCAAATGCAATTCAAAGAGATCTTAGTTCTGTTTGAATTGCATTTATAATCTAGTTCAAAAGAATATGTAGTAGAATGCTCCATTTATGATCTAACTCAGTCCAATTTATTCTATTTAAGCATGTTTGCTTAAATAGAGTTTACTTGGATTTATTCACTTTAATTGGACTTTTCACTTTATTTGGATTTAGTTTTTACATATACATAGATATACGTACAGATATATATACAGAAGAGCTATATGTGTATATATATTTTATCTCTTTTTATTCTTATTTTTATCCTTATTATATTGTATAGTTGGATGTGTGTATATATCATGTAAAACTGTAACTAGAGCGTGTAACAAAAGTAATTTCCCTCTGGGATTATTAAAGTATTTCTGATTCTGATTCTGAGTCCCACTCCCATGGATTAACACTCTAGGTCCCAGAGCAAGACCCTTGACCCCCACATTGCTCCCCAGGCACCACACAGTGGCAGTCCACTGCTGCCCAAAGGGATGGGTTACATGCAGAGAGTTAATTACGTTGCTCTCTTCTTGTGACAGTGTAAAGACAATAAAAATGCTGGGAAAAAAATATAAATCTATTTCAATCTTAAATACAGAAAACAGCATAAAAAATCAATTTAAAATCTGTATATTATAGTCTACTCAATCTCCTTGCTTTTAAACCTGCGGTAAACCAGTTCTGTCCAGTTCAGTGTAAATAGTCTCTCTTTGGAAACATGGATAAAGTTGTACTATCTAGTTAGCTCCAGTTAGTTTTAAGAAAGGGTCAAATTTTAATTTAAACCTATACCCTGTTGAGCACATTTGAGTAGAGTCAAAATCAAACTAGTAGGATCCAGTTTAATGTGCTTAATTTAATTTAAAACATGTTCAGTAAAGTTCTATTACCGGTAAGTTAAATAAAGAAATTGAAATTATGACATTTTCAGATGTACATATTTTAATATTAGTCATTTGGTATTTCATCTACTTCAGTCCTTAGTTCCCTACATTGTTTTATTGTTTAGAATGTTTAATTGTTTTGTTTGTTTCATGACCAACTTCTTATTTTTTATATGTGGTAAATGAATTGGTTTATATTGACTTTAACTTAAAGAAGTCCAGAGCAGTGAACTAAGTTATATTAACCTTACAAACATACTCTGATATATAAAATATTCTACCTGGTCATGTTTGTTATTGCTTAAATCCCAGTTTGTCTAAAATATTTCAGCTTTGATATACCAATATTAACCCTCTGTGTCTCTTCTTCCTGTTTAGTTTTATGCATGCGAGGCTGTGCTGGAGGAACAAGGAATCTATGGAGGTCAGTTTTTCTCCCTGTTGTTGCTGTTATTCTCGGTTAATCAACAGTGAAAAGTGATGGAGAACTGAAACTATGTCTGTCCACCTGCAGATGTGACTACTGACGAGTGGGCTTTCTACCTCCTTCCTTTGGATGATGATATCATCAGTCTGGAGCTTCCTGAGTTTTTTAGAGACCAGTTTCTGGTAAATTTTGAGTTTTTAAGAGAGCTCAGACACTTGCTCAGACAGATTGTTTTAAAGTGATTCACAGTTTTTATAAAGATAGTATTGACTCTCTATGCTAGGTTTGTGCACACTCTGCAAGACTATGGCGTTTGATTTCGTTATTCATTTATTTTCCTGAAATACATAAAAATAAAACAAAAGACAGTTAAGAACTTCGTATTTAGTCCATGGAGCAGACACCCTCTCTACTTTTAAGGGTAGGCTTAAAACTTTCCTTTTTGATAAAGCTTATATTTAGAGTGGCTTAGGTTATCCTGAGCTATCTCTATAGTTATGCTGCTATAGGCTTAGACTTCTGGAGGACATAGGGACCCCTTTTTCATCATTCTGCTTCATTCTATCTCTATTCTCCCACTCTGCAGAATTTGTTAGTTCAATTTCGAATGCTATGCTCTCTCTGATTTTTCTCATAGTAGCTTCATCTGGTCTGTTCCTGTTTGGCTGGGACACCATCCTGTAGAGAAATATCAGCTGTGCTGCTGACATCAACACCTTTGTTTACAGATCAACCTGTTTTTCAGTGTAGTCCTGTTTCCCTGACTGTGATTGGCTGGATGCGCTCTCTTTTCTCCTCTAATATAGGAGCTGGCTAGGAGCTTGTCTCCCTGGCTGTGTGTTTCCTGGACAATGCCGCCTGTGAAGCTGGTTGACAGTTGCCTTTTGTATCTTTGCTTCATTTTCTATGTCTGAACCTCAGTCGGCCTCGGCAGATGGCCGCTCACACTGAGTCTGGTTCTGCTTGAGGTTTCTTCCTGCTAAAAGCGAGTTTTGCTCTCCACTGTCGCTGCAAGCATTCTTAGTGTGAGGGATTGTCTTCGAGTCAATGAGTTGATTCAGTCAATCAATTTGACTGTATGATGTGGTTGAATTGTAAAGTGCCTTGAGATGACGTGTTGTGAATTGGCACTATATAAATAAATTAAACTGAATTGAATATTTAGAGACTTTATCATTTATTGCCTTTCCACTCATCCTATTTAACTAAACTAGAAAATTTGGACTTGGGAAAAGTTGGAATATGACATTACAATTTGTAGGAATCCCGTAAATCCTTACCTACCCTGTCTTTGTTTTTTTTTTTATTATTCTTTTTCATGCATTTCATGCCTTTTAATCTTTTTTCCTGATAATACACTTTTCAGGATTAACCCCTTTTATCAAAATTGAAACAATAAAAATCAAAGAAATCCTGGATAGAATCACTCCAAATAAACAGCAAAACAAGAAGTTTATCTAATGAACCTAGTATTATTTCTACAGGCAGGAGACCAACGATGGGTGAGGACGGCTGGCAGTGCTCTGCACCTCCTTTACTCCCTCTTTGGACCATTCTCAAAGATCTACGGGATTGGACGCTGTTCCAAGGTCCAGAACAGTCAAAGGGCAAAGCTTTAACATCCAGATCCTGTTACTTTACATACGTTACATTTGCTGCCGTTTATATGTCCCCAGATGACCTACGAGTCGTGGAGGGAGCAGGTAGAGGAGGGAGAGCAAAGAGCTCGGCAGGCTGAAATTGGGAATGTTTTTCTCATCGATAGAGGTAAGAAGCAACGGCTCGTCAAAGTATAAGCAGGCTGCACTGTTCTTCCTATCTAAAAGAAAATCATTTTTTCCCCCACAGATGTAGACTTTGTTACTCCTTTATGCTCACAAGTTGTCTACGAGGGGCTGGTGGATGATACATTTAGGATCAAATGTGGTGGGTATCTGAATTCAGTCAACTGAGGCTGTACTGATTGGAAAAATTTTATTTTTCATTGATATTTTGGAATCTTGTATAGTTTTTTAAAATCTATTTTTATAAGTTGCCTTGAATAATAATAATAAGAAGAAATAAAATGGATTATTTCTTTGCTTTATTTCGAATCAAGTTGGAATTACAACATAAAAATATTTAAAGCCATTTTAATTTTTGCTATTTTCTTTGTCTCATTTCTGCTTCTTGTCCTGCAGGATGTGTTGAGTTCGGACCTGATGTCACCTCCTCTGACAAAAGTATTAAAGTCATGCTGAACTCTCAGGATAAGGTATGGCTGAGGTTAGAGCTGTTCATCTGCTTTTGTCAGGACTGAAGGTCAACGTTTGCTTATTCCTCACAGGTGTTTAATGAAATCCGAAACGAGCATTTCTCCAACGTTTTTGGATTTCTCAGTCAGAAAGCCAGGAACCTCCAAACTGCATATGATGTGAGTTCTTGTTAGGCCTGGATTAAAGGTGACTGATGGGAGTGGATGGTCTGATCTTCCCTGTTTCTTTACACCCTGCAGAAAAGAAGGGGGATGGACATAAAGCAGATGAAGACGTTTGTATCAGAGGAGCTGAAAGGTCTAAAGCAGGAGCATCGGCTACTTACTCTACGTGAGTGTTCACATTAAAAGAGATAATGTTCTTACATTATCTATATCTACATGTTCTTAAAAACGAGCCATGCTTCTGCTCCTAATAGCAATTTTTCTTTCAGACATCAGTGCCAGTGAGTCTATAATGAAAAAGAAAACAAAGCAGGATTTCCAGGAGCTGCTGAAAACTGAACATTGTGAGATGAATCTATTTACACTCTACATCTAATTTGTGTTTTTTAGTTCAGAGTATTTTTGAGATGCTTTTCTCTGTGATACGAAACTTTTATCTTCTTGTCTATTGACAAAAATTGGCAAATATTTAATTTTAGGATCTTAATTTTAGGTCTATATCAGGTCATAAATACAGCCAAGTGTTCAGGGTTATATTCTAAATTTAGAACAAATATTTAATTATGTATGCCCTCCTGTGGAGCCACCACCCACAGAGGGATCCATAGGTGTCAGGTGCAGAGAGGACTTGATGGGTGGTCGAGGCTGGGGGCAAAACGGCCCGGTGTACACGCAGCTTCTGTGGTAGGGATTTGAACGTCACATCACTGGGGGGAAAGAGCCTGAACTTGTGTGGGAGGTTGATAGGTACTGGCTGAATATAGTCGGGCTCACCTCTACGCACAGCTTGGGATCCGGATCCCATTTCCTGGAGAGAGGATGGATGCTCCACTTATCTGGCGTTGCCAACGGGGAGAGGCGGCGAGCTGGGGTGGCCTTGCTCATTGTCCCCCATCTCAGTCGTCATGTGTTGGAGTTCACCCCATTGAATGAGAGGGTTGCATCCCTACGCCTTTGGGTTGGGGACAGGTCTCTCTCATTCCCAACATCTAGTACCCGGCCTTCTTGGAGTGCTTTGGAGGGGTACTAGATGGTGTTCCAACTGGGGACTCCATTGTTGTACTGGGGGGACTTCAACGCCCATGTGGGCAGTGACAGTGAGACCTGGACAGGGGTGGTCGGTAGGTATGGCCTGGAGGTCAATGAGCGACTTTGTAGTTGTGTTATCTGATCTTCGGTCGCGTGTCTCGGACGCTCGGGTGAAAAGAGTGGCTGTCAACTGGTCACCACCTGGTGGAGAGCTGGATCCACTGGGAGGGGAGGAAGCCAGTCAGACCTGCCAGGCTTAAGCGTGTTGTGAGGGTCTCTTGGGAATGTCTGGTGGATCCCTCTGTTAGTGCGGTCTTCAACTCCCTCCTCCGGATGAGTTTCTCCCAGATCCTGAGGGAGTTTGGAGACATGGAGTCGGAGTGGTCCATGTTCTCCTCCTCCATTGTCGATGCGGCTATTTGTAGTAACTGTTCGTAAGTATCTTGGGGTCTTGTTCAGGAGTGAGGGACGGATGGAGCGTGAGATTGATTGACAGATCGGTGCAGCGTCGGCAGTGATGCAGTCACTGTATCGGACTGTCGTTGTGAACAGAAGCAGGGTTGAGGGGAAAAGCTCTCAATTTACCGTTCAATCTACATTCCCACCCTTACCTATTGTCATGAGATCTGGGGAATTGCTATATAAGGACAAGGTCGCGAATACAAGCAGCCGAAATCAGTTTCCTTCGCAGGGTGGCATGGCGCACCCTTCAAGATCAGGTGAGGAGCTCTGTTATCCTGGGAGGAGCTTGGAGTAAAGTCGGTGCTCCTCCACATCAAAAGGAGCGGCTGAGGTGGCTGGGGTCGCCTCCCTCGGGAGGTGCTCCAGGCATGTTTCATTGGGAGGAGGCTTCGTGGAAGGCCCAGGACACGCTGGAGGGACTGTCTTTGAGCTGTCGTGGTGTCACCTCGGGGTCCCTCCAGAGCAGCTGGAGGAAGTATGTGTGGATCAGAAAGTCTGGGCATCTTTGCTTAGACTGCTGCCTCTGCAACCCGGCCCTGGATAATCGGAAGAAAATGGATGGATGGATATTTAATTATATTTATTTATTGAGAAATGTGCAGCACTTATTCAGAGGTTCCAGTTGAGGGTTTTTCGAGGTATTTTGATGCAGACCACAGAGCCACAAATAGCATTTATTTATTCTGCTGCTATGAAGCTGTGAAAGTAGAAAAGTCACTCCTCAAAAGCTATGATTAAATTGGTCCTTTCCTTAACCATCCTCTTTTTGAGTTGTGGACTCCATCTCCCATGATTCCCTGAAAGAATACATGCTATAGCTCCATGGGAACTTCCTGGTTAAATAAAAGCTTTGTTAAAATATGCCTTTTAGATTAAGCTACTACCTCATTTTGTTTCTTTGGTAACCACAGTCTGGTTGTCCACATGCAGCTGCGATAATCAAGCTACAAAGCATTTTTTGTTTTATTTGTTATTGTCTATTATGACCTGATTAAATCTAAAACCAGATCTTTGACTCTGCAGGACGGCCCATTCTTTGTGCAGACTGTTAATATTCTTGTCTTCTTGTAGGTTTACTTGAAGGATTTGAAATCCGTGAATGTATTTCTTTCATGGAGGAGCACATCAACAGACAGGTGGGCTTCACTTGTTATAGGTCTGGGTCAAAGGAAAGGCTGCCGAACTAAAAGCCCTCAGTGAATCACTCTTCATGTCTCTTCTCCTCTATTTGACCTTAGGTCTCCATGATCGAAAGTCTTCGGCTGCTGTGTCTTCTGTCGGTCACAGAAAACGGTGAATTATAATTGGTGATTCTGAACTGGAATGTCTCTTTTGTTTTTAATCTTGCGAGGACAGATTTCAGAACTGTTAAAATCCTAATATATTTGTATTTGGCTTTCAGGACTCCTGCCAAAAGATTACAGGGCGTTAAAAGCCCAGTATCTTCAGGTGAGTACTCACAGATATTCAAAGAGTAAAAACATAACCCTCTGAGTCAGAAGCATAAACACCTAAAACCTGTTTGTAGAATATTTCAGAAACTTAAGTTTGCTTTTCTAACTCCCCCCAAAAAAAGAACAAGGCTGAGTATATTTTGCCGAGACTAAACTGACTGTACCATTATCTTTCCTTTTTTTTTCTTTTTTCTCTACAAGAAGCTACATGTTCCACTAGAGAGGATACCTCTTATATAAAAATTAGCAACCAGCTAGATCTAACAGACGGGGTGACTAGAAATTGGACCATAGTTTTAAATAGTGTTGCGCCGATGCCATTTTTTGGCCCCGATACTGATACCCGATACCTGGCTGTGCAGTATCGGCCGATACCGATACCATAATAATGTAAAATAATTGCCATCATGGCTTTGTCAAGCTGCTGCCTACCTTTGTGAAGCAGGAAAAAATTTAATACAAAGTGAATCCAGTAGAACTTTTTATTGCCTACCAGGAGTGAATGAAAATAGTTGAATAAACTTATAGCTCTCAAAATGGTATCGGTGCCCTATTTGTTGGTACTCGCCGATACCGATACCACCATTTTAGGGCAGTATTGGGGCCCTATCCGATACTGGTATCGGTATCGGTGCAACACTAGTTTTAAAAACATCTCACTGTTTTGTTTTTTAATAGAAACATTCAAGGATTCAGACCATTAATGAGAATAAGCTGGGATAAGCTGGAATTGAACATACAGGAATACTGAAATGTCCACCAAATCACCAGGAGTCCAAATCACCCAAAATAAAAACTCACAATTATTATTCTGTATTAAAAAACCATTGTGAATTTTTTTACATAAATTAAAAAATGTAACTTTTACCTTTTGCATTTTGTTGTTCAATGTGGCCCCAAAGCATAAGCTAACTTGGACACTGCCTCTGAGTTAGCTACAAGGAACCTCCATTAATGCTCAGGATACATTTCAAAATGTGTATTGGTTCAGAATAGGTTATTTAAGAGATTGAACATTCTTTCAAATTTCATTTAGGATCAACAAAACTGGCTAAGGTAAATCCTAAATATGTTCATGGTTCAATAACTTGCAGACTTGTTTAATCAGCAAAAACATTTCAATCTGTAAACTTTGTATTTGTTACCTAAAAAGGTTAAACGGCTTCCATAATGACTACCTCATAATAACCTTTTTTAATAAAAATATGTAAAGATATTCTAAAGGAAGCTGCACCATTAGTAACTTCACATTAGAAAACACAAACAGTCTGATCAGCAGGTTTTGTTTCTTATTGTACAGCACTGTTCACATGGTTCTGTTTATAACGTAAACTGTTTTCTGAATCCATCAGAGCTACGGAGACGAGCATCTGCTTACGTTTTCCAACCTGAGGCAGCTGGGGCTGCTGGTGGAGCAGCAGCCAGGGGAGACGCTCACTGTTATGGAGAGTAGAGTGGGCAAACTGGTCAATGACAGAACAGCAGGTAAAACAGGTTTAACTCTACTAACCTAAAGAGGTAAAAAATGGGAAGTTGTGCAAATGTTTGTCATTTTTGCCTAAAGTATGAGGCTAGTTTTGGTCTTTTTTTGTGAGCTCAGTTTAAGCATTTCAGGTTAGAACAAATTCTGAAAAAAACAAAAATATATATATTGATTACCGGTAATATAATATTAAAGATAAAATTTTTTTTAGAGCAAAGTGAAAAATAAGCCTTCTTTTACGCAATCTTTAAAGCTGATTCTCTTTCATAAAAAAAAAAAAAAATTAAGACTATAACTGTACATTCCTCCTCTTTGACTATGAATTTGAAATGTGCGCAGAAGGTGTTTGTACTTTGTAACGCAATACTTAAATTGAATAATGGAGTGCAGAGAGAGAAGCGTATCTTTATTCTGTTTCTTCTGATGCTGACTGATGTTACCAAACAATTATGCACATTTTTGCAGGCCTGAGGCAGGGTATTAAATGTATGCTGATTAACTGGGGAAATTTGATTAAACTAATTAGATATTCTGACTTACAATCATGTGTTTGCACTTTTTTTCTCTCCCAGATAACTTTCAGCATTCTTTTGTTCTACTTATATTAAATTATGTGTTGGATTATTTTTGTCATTGTAGGAAAACTGACTGATGCCTTTTCCTCTCTGGCCAAGAAGAGCAACTTTAGAGCCTTAAGCCGAAAGCTCAATCTGGTAATAAACAAAGATCATCTATTTTTCAAAGATCATGATCTGGGCTTTACATTTTCCATTGCTATTGTGAGGAACATGGACTAATAACTTTATTTGGGGTAAAGGTGCCAAAGTCAGATGAAGAATATGACCTACGTGTTCCCAAGGACATGGCTTACATTTTTAGTGGTGCATACATCCCTCTGAGCTGCAAGCTTATAGAGCAGGTGAGTCTTGTCATTCCATCAGATGAGAGTTTTTAACCAAAGTAAAAATGAAATTGTTTAAACTATTCCTTTTTGTTTATATCCAGGTGTTGGAGCGGGATGGCTGGATAGGCCTAGAGGAAGTAACCAGGCTGATAAACGGGCATGAATTCGCTGTAACAGGTTGGATCACTGGGAAATTTCCTGTTATCCTAAACGTTTGGAAGCAAAATCTTTTTATTTTTGCGTGGTATTTTTTTCTCTCTTCCAAAGCAGGTGGCAGCGGAGCTGATTCAAAGTCAAAGGGTGACAGTCAAAGAATCATTCTAGTCATGTTCCTCGGGGGATGCACCTTCTCTGAGATTTCAGCTCTCCGTTTTCTAGGAAAAGAGAAAGGTAAACACAAAATGGTCATACATGAACTGGAAACGATTGGGATTTATCACCAGTATAAAAGAGAGACGGGGATGATTACTTTTTTTTTTTCTTTCTCTAAGAATTACTCATTTAAAAGATTTAATATTGTTTAAGTAATTTTTTTTTTTTTTTTACGATTTTAAAAGACCTGGCTAATGTTTTTTTTTTAAATGTTTTTATGTACTGTCAGAAATCCTAAAATTACATTTAAATGTTAAATATTTTCTGAATCTTTATGCATATTTGCTGATTTTATGAACCAATAATGCGGTATGGAAATACTATTGTTGTTTTTAGGCTTATCATGAAATCAGCCTAGACATCACATTCTGGCCCTAGAAATCCTGCAGCGGTCACTGTTGTTTTTACATGTATACATTTGTTGGAGCAATCCAGCATTAAAACTGTTGTTTCCTTTTCAGGTTATAAATTTATTATTGTAACAACTGCAATTACAAACAGTTCGAGGCTCTTGGAGGCTATGCTGGACAACCACGTTTGAAGCCAAATGACACTGACTGGAGGACACATATCTTAAGCTTTATGTCATACATTCCTTTCAGCTTAAGTGTTTACTTATGCTATGTCGTCTTTATCAACAAAACTCTAAAAATGAAGAAACCGAATAAATGTGTTTTTAAAAAATATGTCAATTGTCTTCAATGATCGTATTTATAGCATCATTCCATCTATATAAAAAGATAATGCATACCGCCCCCTCTGGAGGTGGCCTGTATGTTTCATATATGGGCATACGCCGAACGGTTAGAAGGTGGGCGGTGCAAAGAGCAGGCCTCCGGCGTTTCGTCCTGGTGTACTATATTGAGCGCTCCCGGACCACCAGCCAATCAAAATGCAGAAACCTGAAGAACGCGTATTTTGAATTGTGGAGTGACAGACGGACTCAAGCGATACCAAGCAGAACGGACATCTACGGTTGATTTTTTTTTCTCTATAAAGGGGTCTTTCGCTACTTTCTTTTTTAACGTTCAGGGTTTTAAAATGAGGAAAAGGTAAGACTAATGTTTTGTATCTCAAGGTAGCAATGTTTTCTGACCGTAAAATTACTACTTAGCAAAGAGTTGTTCATGTTCTCTAACGGTCAATATGGCGTTAGGCTGGCTCTAATCACACTATCACATTGTTAGCCTTCTTGTTATCATGGAAATCTCTACTTTCAATGATTTTTAACTCCTGGTGGGGTTTTGTAGCGAGGTGCTCGCAGCAGAGGCTGTGTCGTGTCTGAATAAGGCACTTTGCCACCTGAAGGACATCTGGGAGGAGATCGGTATCCCGGAGGACCAGAGACTACAGAGGACTAATGTTGTTAAGAACCACATTAAGGTGAGAATCAGATATATTATGCTTTGTAAAGCATTCTTAAAAAATCGGTGGAGTCTCTGGTGGGTTTAGGGATAGAGATCAGTGTTAGAGAGAGCAGTTGGGGTTGATTATATAATGGTAGGCATTTTCAAAAGCTAAGATTTACTATAAGATTTGAATGTAACAACAGGAAGTGCTTGTTTTCTTTCTGTATTCTATCAAACCACCTGCTTTCTGTTTGAATATTGATGCTTGTCCTAAAATCCTAATATTTTTAACATTTCCCAAAACTGATTTTTTTTTTCTAATAAAGTAATAACACATTTTAAACTATTTTTGTGTTTGTGTACATTTCCCAGTTAAAATGTAGTTTAGAACACATCAATATTTTTAAAATCTTATTGTTGGTAGTGTGGAGAAAGGAAATCTAGCATGTAAAATCCTGGTTTTGACTGTTGAAAAATAAAGAGGCAATAAAAATGTAAAAGTAACTCTTTAAATGAATGTTTAAATAACACATTCCATCTGTAATGGTCTGTATTTCAGGCTGTTTCAATACTCAAAACACCAAAGCATTACAGATTTTAAAACTGCTGCCTAATAACCCATTGGAGCAATGAAAATGACCCCTAAGCTCCCAGCTGAATTAGAGGTTAGCCTTAGCATTGGGTGGTGGCATTATTTGTGGAACATGTAGATATTTAAATCTAACCGACTGTTTAATTTTCCAATAACTTAATATCCCTTTGCGATTAATAAGGTACCATTGAACTGAATTGAATTTTGTGATTGATTTCCAAAATGTTACCAAAGTGTAGAAATGTGGAAAGTTTGTCAGTTTCAATCTGTAAAATTGTAGAGGTTGAATAAAATGGAATTTCAACTGGTTCATTTCAAATCTGCATTATGTACTCAGGTGAGATAGATCTCTGTGGCTGGAGAAGGTTATATTAATAGGTTTTAAAAAATCTGTTTATATTCTCTTTTCCTTTGCATGTTAGAATGGATTTTTAAAATATTTATTAGATATTAAAGAACTTCTGCATGTTAACAGAAAGCATCTGTGTATTTTTCTTTGTTGATTTGCCATACAGAACCTACTAGAGATGATGGTTAAAGAGGAGGAATCTCTAAAAAACAGACTTCTAACGAGCATCCAGAAATGCAGGACAGAGATGGAAAAACTCTGTCTAGAGCTCCAGATTCCGGTTTTTGAGGTAAAAGCATCCTTCTCTAATATGATCCATTAGATGGACTTTGTGTAGATTCAACTCATTTAGATCTTCCACATGTTGTGGCTGTTCCTTGTCCAAACTGTTCCACATCTTGTTTATATTTTTCATCTATCATGTCTACATCTCAGGCATTGCAATCAATCGCCTCATTAACGCCGATTCCTGTTAATCTGAGTGTTATTAGAGACACCGAGCATGAAGCTCTCCAAAAGATGCTGAAAAACATTTTTCTATTCAGGAGGAAGAGGGTCTAACTATGCTTCAGCAAGAGAAGAACATCCGCACCGAGGTGGAGGCTTTGATGAAGGAGAAGAACCAGCGCATGCAGCGACTGAAAGCTCTGCTGGATCAGGATCAGGACCTGTGTGACATTTTGTGCTCCATGCCATACGGCATCACTCCAGATTTGGTTCCCTCACTGGAACAGCTTGAGAACTTTCAACAGCACATTGCCAAGCAGAATGAGGAGAAGGTACGGACTCTTCTTTTGATCCTTTGAAGTCATAGGAATAAGAAACCACATATTGGGTTCCTCAGCTTATGAGCTGGCTAATATGTGCTATAAATTTAGCCTTTCTTTTCTGATGTAGCTACAGGTGGGTTTAACATTATTAGAAGTAACTTCTATAGATAAGAATAATCAATAATGTGAAAAAGATAAATGGTTACGAACAGAGTAACACATCCGAAGAAAAGATGTTTTTGTTTTGTTTTTTTGGTGCTTACCCAGCTGTGTACTCGGAGTGATTTACATTCCCATGTGTGATTACTGGCTTTTATCATTTAAAATGTGAGATTTTAAATCCAAAAATGGTTTAAAAGAAACAAAAAAAACTTGACTTTAGTTCTCATAGTTGAAACTTTCTAGAGTAAATGCTAATAAGGGAGAGGTTTTAAGCTGTTTGGTAAATTCTATTAAGCAGTTCTAAAGGCACATAGAGATCAAGCTTTCCTAATAATAGGACATTAGTACTGTTGCGTGTCTGAATTGCTGAGAGATGTTTGGTCACAAGCAGGAAGGTGTGAATTAGTTTGAAACTGGCAAATCATTAGGCTGATTACTGCACAATTTTATTTATTTTTAAAGCTGTTCTTTAGTTTCTCTTGTATAATCCTTATTTTACTTGTTTTTCTTAGAATGAGCTGTCCTGTCTGATAGTTTAAAGAATTTTGATATGCACCAGTATGTTGTTTGAAGGAAGTCCCCTTTATTTTCTTAGATCTTTAAGCATATGGGGATCACAATGGTTTCAGAGTGGTATTGTTAGAGGAGTCCCGATACTTTTATTTTTCTGATTGCAGCTTCGAGTATTAACTGATACTAGTATCAATGAATGATAGATGAGGAATTACAGAAAAGGCTTAATGAAGTGACATAACTCAAATATAGAACAATAGTTAACATCTGGCAAGAGAATAACAGAACCATTTCATTTTCACCAAAGAGTCACATAGACGCTTTGCTTCAATCCACTTTGATTCAAAGTTTGACTTTTCTCATATTGGAGATTCTTTTTTTTATTTATTTATTTTAATTTTTTTTAATAAAAACCAGGCCAATTACCCATATCAGATTGGGAAAGCCTTAGTTCTTGTCCTTATCTTGTTCAGTAAACCAGTATTGGGGTTTATACGGTGTTAATATTCTGTTGTTAAATTCTGACTACTAATAACAGTTTAGTAAATAAAGAAGGTAACTCAAGTCACTGTAAAACACATCTTGACATTGTGTTTTTTTGTCATCCTGAAAGGTAAAACGATATGCAGAGTTTACAGAGCTGAAGCAGCAGATCATTTTACACATGGAGGAACTGGAACAGATCCCAGAGACGAGCTTTGAGAAGGATGTTGTGTGTGAAGATGAGGATTCTTTTTGCCTTTCCAGGGACAATATCACCTCTCTCAAACTGCTTCTTTGTCAGGCAAGAGGTTTTCATTTCATAGGACACTACATTCTGCTGCTTAGAATGAAACTTTTAGTGGTTCATTTAAAGCTTGTAAAGACAACAGCCTATTGTACTGAGGTTTCTTAGATCAAGATATCACTCAATGCTGCTGCGCTCACTTTTGATCTGCAGCTGGAGGAACGTAAGGCTCAGAATGAAGCGACCTGCGAGATTCACAGAGAGAAGATCCAGCAGCTTTGGGACCGACTGCAGGTTCCCCAGGAGGAAAGAGAGCTTTTCAACGAACACATGGTGGCATCCAGGAAGAGGAACCAGGAGGCGGTGAGAGTGTTTGTTTCTTCATACTGTTTTATGCTAAAAATTTTCATTATTCTTTCCCTCTCAGCTCTTTATTTTACATGTTGTTTTTCTTCTACAGTTGCAAACAGAAGTGCAGCGATTGGAATCCCTCAAGCTGCAAAACCTGCGTAACGTGACAGAAGCTATTCGATCCGAGATCGCTGTGTTTTGGGAAAAGTGTTTTTTCAGCATTGACCAGCGACAGGATTTCACACCATATTTTAGTGGTAGGTCATCCTGTTTGGCATTGTTATAATCAAATGAACTTGTATATATTTCCTGTCTAACTCTGCTGTATCTGTGTGTGTTCAGAGGATTATAATGAGGAGCTCTTGGCTCTGCATGACGCTGAGATTCAGCGCCTGAAACAGCACTACGAGGATCACAAAGAGCTTTTCGAGGGCGTCCAGAAGTGGGAAGAAAGTTGGAGACTCTACTTAGAACTTGAAGTGGGTTTGGAAAAGGAATCTCAATGTTTTATCAGATCCTATTGGTTCGCATTTTTTAATAGTCGAGAATAGTTTGGAAATGACTGATATTTAAAGGAAAGCTTGGTTTCATTTTATTGTTCCTGTTTTATTACTATTACTGTTTTATTAAATGATCTTTTCTAGTTGAGATGTCTTTTTCACAAGTAAGCGGTTTGGAAAAATTGCTAAAAAGTTAAAATTTGTAAAAAAAAAAAACAAAACAAAAAAACTATTTAGACAACAGTAGATTACTGAAACAGGAAGATTGATTCAGTGACTGATAAATAATTAGTTTTTCAGATATAGGTGCTGCAGGTCTCCTTTTTTCTCAATTTTCTGTCAAGTTTTATTATCAAAAAAGTAAACTTAGGAAATATTTAAACAAAAATTTTGTTTTAATTTCTGTTTTCTTTAATCCATTTAAGTTTTTATTCAAATGTATTTTATTTCCTATTTTAATCCTATTGTTATCCAATGTAATTGTTTAATTCTTGGATCAGGGCTTTTTAGTCCCCCAAAAATAGATTCATAAAGTATTTATTTATATTTTATATCCACCATGCAATGCTACACACTCATGTATACTAATAAATATGTCTCCTCCTTGATAATTTGTAGAAGAAAGCAACAGACCCAACACGGTTCACTAACAGAGGAGGAAATCTTCTTAAAGAGGAGAAACAAAGATCAGAGCTTCACAAAAACCTTCCTAAGGTAAGAAAGAAAACAGCTGGTATTATTTAAGATGTTTGATATCTCACAAATGTTACCGCGCTGCATCGTTTGTGTTTGATTTTTGTTTGTATGTTTCAAGCTTGAAAAGAAATTAAAAGCCCAGATTGACACATGGGAGAGTGAACAGGGCCGGGAGTTCCTGGTGAACGGTCAGAAGTTCCTGCAGTATGTGGCAGAACAGTGGGAGCTGCACCGGATAGAGAAAGAAAAGGAGAAACTAGAGAGAGTAAGTAGGATGGTGGATTTAGGAAATTAGTTGACTCTGTCTGTAATAATTTATTTTTGAATTAAAACCTTTCTAGCAAATAAAGAAAAGCAAACAGACGGAGGAGGACATGCTGTATGGAACTGCAGTACGAACTCCAACCAAGCGTCGATTCCTCGGCACCCCGACCTCCAATAAATCCCGGAAGGTGTGAAACTCACTTCTTGTTTGGCTCTTCTAAAAACTGAAGTCCTTCAATTATTCCAGAGCTAATATCTGTCCATCTTCTCTTATTAGCTAAATGCAACGTGCAGCATGTCCAGTGGGCACTCTAACAGCACCATGCGCTCTGTGTACGGCGGAATGGTCTGTCGCTCACCTGTGCCTCGTCTTCCCCTCTCAGCAAACAAGGTCTGTTTAATACCCTAACAACATTAAACTACCAGCTTTGTTCTAATTTTAGGATCGTGAACTGAATGATTAAGTATTTTAATCCGCCTGTGTCCTGTAAAAACTAGATTAACAAACTTACCATAACACTTGTTTTGTCTAACAATTCTCCATCTGTTCTTCAGAAGGCTTTTTATATGAAACCTCTATTTCAACATTATGCTTTCATTCTCTTAATTTAGGGGCTAATGTTGCAGATATGTTGATAATCAGTATTCCAAGCCAGTAAAAGTCTTTATCAAAATCAGACATATTTTAATAATACTTTAAAAGCCTTTTAGCTCGTTCAATTTTCCAGTTCTTGATAATTTTATCCCAGTCATTTTTAATGAGACTATATCACATACTTTTTTTCATTTCATACAATTAAGACCAGACCTGACAATTTTGTGGTAAAAAAAAAAAAATCAACTTTCATTTATAATAAAGCAGTCATTGGCTCAGTTACATGGGTTTGTAACAGTTTTGTATCCATTGAGCAAATGTTGGGAACATGGTTTAATCAGTTTAATATAATGTGCTGACTTGGAGCTAGAATATGCTCTGTAATTGTGATCTTTAATGAGTTTGGATTTTCATGGTAAGAATTCACAAATAAATTCCCCCTTTATTTGAAAATTACAATTACTTATTTGACTTCTGATACACTTCTTGGGCATAGATGCAGATGGTGTATAATCTGTTGCCAATTTATTCATGTTATAAACATTCAGATCTTTCTAAGTTAAGTCTAAGCAGCAACAATTTTTAAATAAAATTGATCCAAGTCTGTTGACATTCCTAAGAAGTAAACTAACTGCTTATGACACAACCTAATTAGAATCCACCTGCAGGGTTGTGTCATTGAATTGTTTGTCAGACATAGTAAAAATGTTACCCGTCTACTAAGACTTCCAAGTGAATGATTTTGTTCTGGAATTTCTAGAACGATATAAGAACTGTGCGTTACCTCCGTCCAAGTAATCTAATCAGTCCCTCCTATCCGTCTTTTCCAGACTACAGCAACACGGACGCCCGGTGGCAGCAAACCCCCCCACCCAAGGATTCAGGAGTGCAACAAGGAGAATGAGGCCCAGTTCAAGGGGAGCCCAATGAGCGGTGCGTTCCAGACCCCACCCTGTCCACAGCGTAACTTCAGCATGGCTTCTGTTGCCAGCACATATTCAGAGTTTGTGGTAATTTTCTCTTTTGTATCTAACATATCACCACCCTCCATCGCTGCACTGAAACTTTTTTTTTTTTTTTTTTTCTGAGCTTGTCAAGAAAAATTATGTGCAGATGCTAAACAATGTTAATTTGTGTTATAGAGGGACTTGGTCAACACTGAATCTGTTCAATCAAGGTCTGTTTGGAATCCTAAAGCCTTAAACTAATCCCTGTTCATTTGCATGCTTTTGCTTAAAGTTAAATATGCCCCTGCATGAGGGTTCGGCTTTAAAACGTTAGAACATAAAGCCTTTACAGTAAATCTTGAATGGTTTAGCATCACCTCTCTCTTATGGGCTGGGAGCCGAGACCAGGGAAGCTTTCTATAACTAATTTGAGCCTTATGATTTTTGCTTGGATAAAAATCTGAGCATTCAAAAGTTCAGTTGTTGTTGTTTTTTCATGAAAATACATGAAAATAGAAACATACTTTTTATGAGTATTTTGTGGATTTTGCTTATTACTGGTAAAAATCAAATATTGTTTTCATGGAAAAGCAGGAGTGAGTTAAAGTCATGTGTAACTTTAAACATCATAAACTTCAATTCTTAGGAATTCATTTTAGAACTCAGCCTATAGTTTTGCCGCTGACAAGAGGTGATTAGCAAAACGACTATGTGGTCGCAATAAGAATTTAATTCAAGTTAAAATGAATCTTTTTTACTTTTTTTGAAGCCACGTTATGAGATTGGTCATGCTGATTGGTGGGAGGAATTTTACAGTGCGAATGGCTCATTAAAAATGGGTTCACCTTAAGTAATTTTCTGGTTAAGACAGCGCCTTTAGGGTTGACAACAATATGGATCCAGTTAAAGTGGCTGGACATCCAGTAATTTGTTATTGTTTTTTTGTATTTTTTTCTAAAATACCATCTCTGCCTCCATTGTATGTGGGTTTTGTCAATGTTTTGTTTATCTATGTAAACTATTTGTTCATGTCTTCAGGGGTTGATATGTATATGTTGGTCTTTGTTGTTTTCTTACTATCTGGGCCCTGCTTTACTTGAGGGAAATCAATCAAATACCTTTCAAATATAATTTAAGTATCGATTTCTTTCAGGGAAATTAACTACTTTTTCGGAGTAACTGCATGTTTGCTGATGGCTGCTTTGCTTAAAATATCAGTGATTTTTACTTTGATGTTTCACCAGAGACTTGCTCATACCTGCTCCTCTCCTCCACAGCGAGACCTGTCCAAGGCCCCAAACACCAAGGTCCAGCACGGCATCCTGAACTCAACCAGCACCAACCCCTGACTCTTCCACTCTGAGGCTAAATGATGTTATGGAACGTATAAATTAGCTCCAGCACAAGTTCAGGTGTTATTAAAAGGTTCACTACTTTTTACTGCTTCTAGCTTTTATGGATAAATGAAGGCATTTATATATATTGATTGTTAAGTAAAGGAGGAAGATATTTTTGGATATCAACAATGCCGTTATAAGATGGATTTGTCACTGTCAGTTTAAAAAGAAAATGTATTGTAAATGAACACTACCTTGGTGCTCAAATGTCCTTCAGTTCTTGAGATGTATAAAATATTCTGTATCCTAAATTGAACTATTTCTTTCATATTTAGACAAACTAGCATTAAGCTTTCGGATCTTATACAGACTGGGGTTACAGGCCAAATGTATTACGCATATGCTGCACTTTTTTTGAATAGGTCTTGCAACTAATAGAATAATTTTACGGTAACACTGGTCTTTTTCAAATCAGTTTTTATAATGCTTTGTATTTATGTGTATATATTTCTTTATCTACCGTTTCATGATTTTTTTTTTTTGGCATCAAGACTGTTATCTTAATGCACACAGTAATTAACTCGCATGGGTTAATATGGTGGATTTGGAAAAAGCTTGTCCAAATACAGTAAATGCATTCTTCACTATTTGTCTCTTGGCTTCCTCTGTACATTCATAAGTGGAGAGTGTTTTATCGTGCACAGCTGTGACTTCCTAAATGAGGCTGGCAGTGGTCGACAGTGATGGGAGTCATTAAACATTTACTGCAGCGCTACATAAAATCTGCTTTGGAGGCCTCCAAATAATTCTATGAACTGGTTAAAGTGGTCCTGCTGTTTGCTGAAAAGGTTTCAAATTTAAAATTCATTACATTCATTGAAATTGATTAATCTAAAAAAAAAATTACTTTTAAATCTCACGACTGGCTGGCACTTACTTAACATCCCTAAAACTCTCAGCCTGCCAGCTTGGCCTATTACATCTCAGCCATTTCATATGGAGGCAGCATCATGGGTAACAGCTGGCCTTAGCCTTCCTCGCTGCTATGATTCAGCAAACATCAACTAACCATTCATCCTTAAGGTGGTTTTCAAGTTTTTGGACTCAGTTCAAATGATATAAAAAGACACATCTGCAAATTAATGCATATAAACTTTTCAATTCAAAGATTATTTCGGATTCCATCTGGTTTAAAACATTAAATTTAGTCGGAAGGAAACAAGCACATTTAAACTATAGTTCTGGGCTTTGTCCCCTCTCACTGTTTGCTTTAGTCTGAACTTGCTCGGATTGTATTCTCAAGAGCCCTCTATTGAACCTCAACTTCAAGTCTTTTGCAGTTTCCAGCAAGTTTTCTTCATGGTTGTCTTGTAGCTACATCCATTGTCTAATTGACTGTCAATTTCTGCACACACAAAAAAATTGTCCCACAGCATAATACTGCCCTTATTAGCTTTACAGAGTAAGGATAGTGTTTTCAGTTAAACCCTTCTGCATTTTGTCACAGTATAATCACAAAGTCCGCTACAATGAATGTGACTTTAATGTACTGGACCTACACTGAGTAACAGAAGTGAAATGACAAAATTGTGCTAAGCCATTTTCTTCTGTGCACCATTTTATTCATTCATGACTAGAAATGATACAGCAATAGGACAGTTTGTCTTTTTCATCTGTTACGCCATTTGACAGGAATGCTGCTTCTATTTAAACTTTTTCACAGCGGAACAAACATGTATAATATATTTGGTACTTTATCTTAAAAAGAGCAACCGTCATCTGAAATTAATTTAATAAAAACTGTGTAATAGTTTCAGAGCCAGTGCTAAAAAAAATGCCTTTCAGTAATATGAGTTCAAAGGCAGGCTAAAAGTAGGAATTAAGCATAATGGGTACAGAAAAAGGCTTTTTTTTTTTTAAATCAATAGATTAAAAATACCCTGAATGCTGACATTTTACCAAAAGCCCTTTCCTTAATTAATTGAAAGAAATGCAATAAAAATACTCTTTACAGATAAAGTAAACAATGTATTGTACTTATATATTAAAAGGATAAAGATAAAGAAACATATGATTTCTGGCCTAATATGTAAAGCTCGTGTCGTATTTGTGTTAGCGAAACTATCCTTTTACTTTTTTGTGTGCTTTTATTTTGAAAGGGTTAGCTCCGGAAGTTCTATAGACCACCGGAAGAAAGTAAACAGAAGCACGCGCCCGGCTGGTTGTTCCGCCTATAGTTTAGGCAGGCAGTCACAACCAGAGTTTATTGGCTAGCAATGCAGAGTTGACTGTGTTTGGAAGCTGTTTGGTATTTTTCAGAGCTCCACCATGTCCGGGGCGCTAGCCAGGCTGCTCTTCTATCCGACTTTAGCTTACAATGTTGTCATGGAGAAGATGTCCTCCAGGAGGTGGTTCGACCGAGTGGACGAGACGGTCATCCTGGGAGCGCTGCCATTCAAGTCCATGACCAAACAGGTCAGAACTCCTGGAAAACAAACTTTAAACCAGTTTAACCCCTCCAACACCACAATTCCTACGAAAGAAATCCTCAGTAATTAAAATATTAATACAGTAGCTCACATTTTACGGGTTTCATTTAAAAAGTGAAATTTACAGCTAATTTAGCCATTTTTGTTCAGCTGTCGATAACCATACATTGAAATCAATTAACTCACTTTGGTTTGGAGTGTATAAAACGATATCTGAAATCATAGGAATAGAATATCAGCCTAATATTTATATTATATTATATTATATATAATATTTTTGAAACAATACCACTTGATAGTTTGGGTACCTCTAGGTACCCAAACTGTATAGGATATAATAGCCTTTTCAACTTTGATAGCTAGAAGACAGATTCTTTTACACTGGAAATCTTCCTGCCCACCAAAATTATCTGAATGGGGGTCTGATCTAATGTTGTACCTCAAATTAGAAAGATTAAATATACACTAAGAGCCTCCACTGATCGGTTTTATGGTGCTTGGAATCCAATAATAAAATATTTTGAAAAGCTCAAGACACTTGCTGAGAATCCCTAAGAGTAATGCATTGAAACCTGATGGCCAAGACTACAGAAGTTAAGCACATATAATAAATAAGGCTTTTCTTTTATGTATGGTAGGAATTTGTGTACATATATGCATATACATTGTTAATTTTTATTTCTGTGTTTATGCTACTCTTTAGTGGTTGTATTTGTAGTGAAGACCACTATTTTTTTTGGTGTTTTCCTCTTTGGTTTTTTGGTCAAAGATGTATATGTGTATATAAATGAATCACTAATGTTTTTTGACTCTGTGGGTATATGCATAGTAGTTCTTGGGGGGTATCTTGAGCCAAGAATGTAACTAATGTAAGAATGTAACTAACAACAGAGTGCAGTATCCACCACATTATTAGAAAGTTTAAAGACAGAAAAACATGCTTTTATTTTTTTATCATGTCATTATTCATACCGTTGCAACAAATTACATTTCAAGCTATTCCACAGAATAAGCAGTTCCAGTTCATTTTAAAATGATACAGTGAGGTAAAACAGGACCATAAGCAATCAGGAAAACTTTGCATGTTATTTTTGATCGTGGGTCTGATGGGAAATTGAGAAGCACGGAATAAAAGTTGGTTAAAGATGAGTAAATCACTTAATCTAACAAACATTTCACATCTTTATGCAATAAATCTACACATTAAATGAGTTTCACATTTTAAGTTAAAGCATGTTAGGATAATTATCATTGATGATGTGTGAGTTTATTACATTTATTATTTATTACTTAATATTAGCTGCCTGTTGCATGTCAGAACTGATGTTTTTTACAATAGTTTATCTAATTAAGACAGTTCCTTTGTCCGGACATACAGGTATACTCTTCATTCTGTACATGGCAAAGATTTGGAAATGGAATGAGAGCGGTGTCCTTCAGCTAAGAACGAAGTGTATTATTTTGATACAGCTGGAGCCATGGATGTCTACTCATCTGCTAACATGTATGATGTAATGATGTGGCAGACTGGAGATTTATAAAATGTCTTTTTAACTTGTTATCGGGGCCACTTCCTGTGAGGTGAACCCAGAGGTGAGCAGCTGCCCTCTGTACATTCTAAGCAATTTCTCTGATCTGGTTAAGATTGTGATTTCTATCAGAATCTGTTGTCATGTCTCCTGGTTATTTAATACATATAAGCTATGAAGTGTTTCTCCCCAGTGATCTCTTTTCTGGAAAAAGAACTGGCGAGAGAAACCAAGGTGTAGACACAGACAGCTTATCTCTAACAAGCATAATTAACTTTTTGATAGTATTTCATTTAACTGAGATATGAAGGTACAGGTTAAAACTTATGTTTAGTTTGGTTTCTTATTAAAAGTTTGAATTTCTGAGTTCCAAGTCAGAAAAAAAAATCTAATTAAACTACCTTTCAAGAAAGAGTTCAGCGGGGTTCAATTTTTGTCTTTAGTTGGATCTGGGAAGCTAATTGTAGTGTTACTGATTTTAGCATTATAGTTTGAAAGCATAGCATTTTTTTTTTTTTTAAATAATGTGTTCAAACACAAAGAAATATGCTCCCAACAATAGATTTTCCTGCCCTATGTTTACCGTGGAAGTATAATGGGAGTCATCCTGTAAGCTGGTGATCAAAATCCTAAACATAATAGCAGTGTGATGATTATCATTTGACTCCACTTTGTCAATGTGTGGATTCAGGAGCTTAATATGAACTGATTGTTGTTTGTTGTTACAGCTGGTGGAAACTGAGAATGTTCGGGGAGTTGTAACCATGAATGAAATGTATGAAACCAAATACTTTTGCAACTCTTCTGAGGTGAGTAAATTTCATAGCTGGCTGTTGCAATTCGTAAGGGAATATTAATGAAAACTTAGTTGAATATCTTTTTTTTTTTTTTTTAAGACCTTGGATTAGCATGAGAAAAGAGATCTCTGAAATTAAGGCTAGAGTTTAAGAATCTGATGTTTTGGATCAGGAGTGGCGTGCTGCAGGTGTGGAGCAGCTTAGGCTGAGCACTGTGGACCTGACTGGAGTCCCCACTCTGGAGAACCTTCACCGGGGAGTGGAGTTTGCTCTGCAGCATAGACAGCGAGGAACAAGTGTATATGTCCACTGCAAGGCGGGCCGTTGTCGCAGCGCCACACTGGTAGCTGCTTACCTGATACGGGTCAGTACAGAACTCCTAAACAACTGTGGCTGTCATATCAGAGCTACTGGAGAAAAAAATGAGGAGTTTTCATATTCAACACTAGAACACAGAGGGTGGAAAACATGACCCTGACCTTAATTGTGATCTATAGATGTCACAAACTGGCCTCCTACTAAATCTGAATGAATGTTTGCATTTTTAGTCGTTAAATTATATTTCATCTGTTAATTATTTTGGTTATGTCCATTATTAGGAGGTGACTGTAGAGATTGGAATGGGGAATATTTAGAACTTTAGTTTAGTTTAGCTGAAAAACTTAAATCAAGTCGGGTGTGTTTCCCCTGCTTTTGGTGAACAGGACAAAGTTATGTTAGAAATATTCCATTCTTCTTTTTTTTGTTTGTTTGTTTGTTTAAATCTTTAAATATCTAAGATGAATTTTTCTGATGACAGCTGCACTGCTGGACTCCAGAAGAGGCATGTCAGCGGCTGTCGTCCATCAGGCCGCATATCTTGGTACGCTCAGCTCAGCTGGAGATGCTTAGGAAGTATTACCAAAATGTTTGTGAGCTTTCCACCTGAGAGACTGGGTCAGCAGTGGGTTACGCCTCAACATTCAAGCTGAAAACTGGACTGGATAAAAATGTTGATTATACTTGTTTGGTTTTATTTTGTTATGTTTTTTTTGTGTGTTTTTAATGGAAGTAGCTTTTTTAATTGGCTTGAACAATGATGTTTGTGACTTCTTCTATGATTCACTACTTGGTGTAAATAAATGTTTAAACTAAATCTTTATTGAGTCCAAAAAGAAAATAAACAAGTAACTTGCTGCATCAGATACTTTGTACTCTTTGGAAATTGTTTTTGTTTTATATTTGTATAAAACTTCAAAAATAGGACAGATTAAGATTATTTCTGTCTATCTCTTTGCTGTCACCACTGATGCTGATTAGGGATTTTTTCTTTGGAGAACTTATTGTCATATTGATGATTGCTAACGTTGTGTCTACTTTGTAAGTCACTTTGGATTAAAGCGTCTGCTAAATGCCTAAACATAGTAAATATTTGTAATAAAAGTGCTGACTGATTTTGAGCTTTGTTTTTTCTCTACTTGTAATACTGATCAACCAAAATTCCTTAAAATGCACAATTATTTCATATTCTATAAAATGAGCATATTGCTTAATTGGGACCATCATAGTTTTAACAACTGGTCTGAGGATGCTTGAAATGTGGAGAACTGAAGGATGCTTCTTTAAAAAACTGATCAAATTATATTTATTTTTTTCTGCAGCAAATTATAAACTAAATGTATAATTTCATAGCCACAAAATTAAGTTGATATTTATTTAAGTCAGCTTTAAACTGAAAACAATGGGTTTAAAGGCAGTACAGTGTAGCAGTATTTTTGTGTTAGCCTAGTCCTTTTGGTGTATGTCATTCTCTTTGGACATGTTTGACTAAAAACAAAATTGGTGCAGTGAATATACTAATTCAAACGCAAAGCATAGTTTTTTTTAATAAAAAAAAAAAAACCCAACAAACCAAACAACTGAAAACCTTCAATTTTCTGGGATTTCCCCTCCACGCCTTTAGGGGGCGACATAGGTTCGGTTTACGTAACTTTAGGAGCGCGGTGTAAACATGGCGGCGTCGTTGGTGAGGTTTGTCCGTGGAGGTCTTGGGCGAAGTTTTAATAGTAAGTTGACGTGCAGGTCGTTCGTTATTAAACTGCTTGTATGCTATAGATCTAACCATTAATTTACACATATCGGCATGTTCATTAAGCTGGTAATTTTGTTAATTAGCCTTCAAATCTCCGACTGACCTTCGAAGTAGCTAACGCTGTTGTTCTCAAACTAGCGACGTTTAGCTGTTATACACTGTTGGACCACAGCGGGTTATCAGCTGGAGCATATTTGGTTGGTGTAATTGTTGTACCTGTATCTCCCTCAGTTGCCCGGGCTTCGTGTCTCCTGCAGCAGCAACAGATCAGAGCGCAGAGCTCCACCACTGAGACTCGCCGTGAGTATTAACATCTATCGAGCCAATGATGCAGACTCTAATATTTAACTGAGCCACTATTAAGATGGACTAGTGCTGATCTTATGATACAGCATTTGTTACGTCTTAGGAGTAAGACGTTACTTTCCGGATAGAATTTGATTTTAATTCAGTTTATAGTTCCTCTTTACACCGCCATCGCAACATAAGTTATAAGAGAAACAGATACAGTATATACTTCATTTAGTTCAGTGTCCCATATATTCCTTTTCTACTCCTTCATTTATAGAGGTAGACTAATACATGCTGACAGACACACCATATCTCTATTAATAATTGAACTTCATTGATCTCACATTGGTAAATTTACTTCTGCATTTAACCCATCCCCTTGGGGAGCAGTGTGGGGTGTTGCTCAGGGAGCCAGAGTGGCAGTGTGTGGGAGGGGGGCTCGAACTCAGAACCTCAGGATTCCAAGCTCTATGCCCTAATCACTAGGCCACCCCTCCCCTCTAGTTAATGTTTGAATATTAACCATCGTCTTCAGTGGAGTATTTAGTTTGGGAGTTTGTGTGGGCAAATTGGTGTGAGTGTGGGTTATTTTTAGGCTGCAACTAATGATCATAATGTATAATCATAATGATAATAATTTAATTAATTGGATAGTAAAAGGATAGGGCTGCTCAGTGCCTTGTAGCAAAAAGGCTGTGGGTTCAATTCTTGGCCCGGGGTCTTTCTGCATGTTCTCCCTGAGCATGCATGGGTTCTCTCCGGGTACTCCGGCTTCCTCACAGAGTCCAAAAACATTACTGTTTAGATAATTGGCTTTTCTAAATTCTCTTTAGGTGTGAGCGTGTGCTTGAATGGTTGTTTTTCCTGTTTGTCTCTGTTTTGCCCTGCAATGGACTGGCGACCTGTCCACAGTGTACCTCGCCTCTTGCCCGTAGACAGCTGGAGATGGGCACCCCTCGCGACCCCAGCAGGGATAAGTGTGACAGAAAATGGATGGATAGATGGATGTATAGCAAAAGCTTCCTTAAAGAAGATTTGATACAGATTTAAACCAAGGGAAACTAAAACTTTAAAACTTGTGGAGTTCTGGATAGAGTATATTGACATATTGACAGGATGTTTTTTTAAAATCGTAAATGAAAAATATTTATCGTCTTTTCATCAATTTTGGTATTATTACTGCTCTAAGTGTGTTGCTCTCTAAGCTAAAGGCATGTATCAGAGTCTATACTCCAGTTAATGATTAATCAATTACTGAATTAATTGACAAATATTTCATTTTGAGCCTTACTTATTTTAATTTAAAAAAGGAGAAACTTGAGCTTACTTTTTTTTTCTATATAAAAAAAAAAACAATCCCATGTCAATTGATGACTGATTACCTTCACAAACAAATTAATGTGAAACGGTTACTGCACAGACGATCAGAGGTGCATCAGTCGGGGGATCAACGTGGATAAATGAGTGAAATAAATTGTTTTGATAAAGCCAATTTGTGGTATGTTTAATGTATATATGTATGTTTTGCTCTAGCATAGTGTATATTAACTAAGAGACCTTTTATGTTTTGCGGTTTGAACAGCCACAGTCAGACCCAAGGATGCTGTCACCCACAACCAGCTGGCAGCATTTGGAGAGTATGTGGCGGAAATCATGCCAAAATACATCCAGCAGGTGCAGGTAAGTTCAAAGGCGTATACAGTGCTGGTCACATTAGCTTCTGCTGTTTTCAGGTCACTAATTCAGCAAAAAATTACAAGTCCTAATTAGATTTTTAGAAAATGGCAAAGCTAATTAGAATGAACTTTATTTCTAATTTAAGGTGACATGTTATAATGAGCTGGAGGTGATGATTCATCCTGACGGTGTGATCCCAGTGCTGACCTTTCTGAGAGACCACACCAACGCTCAGTTCAGGAACATGATCGACCTTACCGCTGTGGACATCCCCTCACGGCAGAACCGCTTTGAGGTCGGTTCAGAATTTCTCTAACACTTGTTTTTACATCACTTTAGTTTCAAATGGTTGGACAATAATCAACTGAGCTGCTGGGATCAAGTTAGGTTTTGATTTTTTTTTTCCAGCAATTTACAATTTAAAGGCAAGGCAAATTTATTTGTATAGCACAATTCAGTACAAAGACAATGCAAAGTGCTTTACATGATTAAAATACAGGAAGATAAAACAGAATCAAAGCAAGTAAGAAAAAATACAGAATGAATAAAAAAAAAAAAAAAAATGCAGAAACAAAAAAGAATATTAAAAACAGTCGGGTTAGCATTTGATCAAAAATTTCTCCTTGGGCAGTTGACAATTCCCCAGAACCTTGCCTTTTGTTCTACTACCATAGAACTGCAAAACCTTTCCCATTATCTACAGGTAATTTACCAATCCTATGGTGCCAACCTGGATAACTGGGGGGGATCCCACTCTAG